GCTCATGTTTGTTGCTGAGTGCCCGGCACCTTCATGTTTGTTGAATGAATGAACGAACGTTTCCACCTTTGCCCCTGTCTTTCTCCACCACTAAATGGGAGGTCATCTGAGATAATCTCTAAGGTTCCTGCCAGCCCTGAGCTGCTGCGCCTCAATCCCACCCCCGCTTCTGGGCCGTGTTTCCTGGTCATCGGCTCGCATGTGTCCCTCCAGCACTTGACACAGCTGCAGATCAGCTGGGCCAACCCTCCCTGTTCACAGGCTCCTACCTTTGAGCCTTTGCTGACCTCGCTCCTGCTTGCTGAGGAGCTGCCAGCTCCTGACAGGTCAAGGAGCCCCGTGAAACAAGCAGTTCTGGGAAGGGCAGGGTCTCAGGTGCTAGATGTCCCTGCCCGCTGCAGGAGACGGGCTCTTCTGAGATTCCTGCGTGGTTACCTGGGAAACCAGGTCAGAGCTGAGGTCAGAGGATGTTGGCCTGAGGCTGAGAGAAGTCCCTTGCACTGGTGTGTGTGTGTGTGTGTGTGAGAGAGAGAGAGAGAGAGAGAGAGAGAGAGAGAGAGAGAGGCGCATGTGCCCGTGTGAACCAGCTCCCCAGGCTCCGCTCAGCATGGAGGTGGATGAACGGGTGCTGGTGGTACAGTGGTGACTCAGGGCAGAGGGTGGATCCCAGGGGCTGGCCCCTTTAGCCGTCCTGAGGAGGGGAGCAAAGACTTCTCCAGTGGGACCAGAGCAAGAGTCACATCCCAACTCCACCTCTTCCCTCCCAGACCTCAAACAAATGACTTGATCTCCCTGAGCTGTGAAGTGAGCACATGCCCGCCTGCTTTTGGGGGGTAGGAGTGGGATTCTATAAAGTGCTTGCAGCCTGGCCTGGCAGATAGTTGGTGCCTAATAAATATCCTGTTTTTTCCTTTCCTCTCCGAAGGGCCAAAGCTGAGAACCTGGAAGACTGCTGGAGGCCACATGGTGGGAGAGGGTGCTGAGTTTGGCAGGCGCTTGGGGTCCTGGGTCTGTGTTGAGGGGAAGGGAAGCTTGGGCCCACAAGAGAAGGGAGGCAGGATAGGGGTGTCGGGGGTGTGGCTCTTCTGGTGTAGCCTTGGGTGCATCACTTCACCTCTCAGCCATCTGTGAAATGCTGGTGAGGAGTCTATCCGATGGGGGGCCCAACACGTACTGTCACTCCTGGGTCGTAGAGGAAATGGAGCTGCAGTCTCCGATGTGAAGCAGCTCTGAGGCCTGTGCTGGATGAGCAGTGGGCCCTGCTGGGCCCTTGCGCACAGGCATCACGCAGCCTGCCACCAGCCGGGCCCTGGCATGGCCTTTGGGAAACCCCAGGAGGTGGGTTGGCTTCTTTCCATCTCTATTTCCCCATTTGTGAAATGGGCACAGTCAGATGTGCCTCACAAATTGGATGTTAGATGGGTCCTTCCTTCTCTCCTTCCTTCCTTCCTTTCTTCCTTCCTTCCTTCCCTCTCCCTCCCTCCTTCCTTTCATCTAGCATCCTCTCTCCCTCTCTTTATCTATCTGTCCATCCATCCATCATCCATCCATCCGTTCACCCATCCATCCATCCATCGTCTATCTTCTCCAATCTCCCCCAACACACACACACACACACACACACACACACACACACACACACACACACACTCTGGGTCACAGACTTCCCACCTGTTAAATGAGTGATTAATGCTCATCAGTGATTTCCAAGTTTTTACTTGGGGATGCTGTATTTTGAGAGATTGGGTCTGCTAAGCATGCTGAGTGAATTCAGTACTACCCAATTCAATTCCTCATTTTAAAATGTCAGTCAGAGCTCCCCTGTGGGTGGGTGGAGTGTGGCTCTGAGCCTCCCTGACACCAGACAAAAGAACAGAAGCTTCCATAGCACCGAGTTTCCCAGAGGCAGCTCACCATGTTCTGGGCACCTCCAAGGACCCTCCGCTTGTATGGCTCCTTTGCTGACCTGAGGCCTAGCTCCTAGGGCTGTGCCCCAGCTTAGCCTCTGCTCTGGTGAGCAGGGCAGTGGAGGGAGTGACCTTTTGTCCCACTCTGCAAGGGGCTTTCTGTTCCTCATTGTTTAGCCATGACAGGGCAGTGGTTTGGTTTTTTTTTTTTTTTTTTCTTCCTGTCCAAGAGGATAAACAGGCCTCAAGATTGCTTAAAGGAGGGCTGACCTCCGCCCGCTGCCAGCAGCTTGGGCTGGAATCAGAGCGGCAGGGGGAGGTGGAGGGAAGGGGATTCAGAGCGGGATTCAGACAGGAAAAGACCCTGGAGGGGAGGCCGCCGGGCAGTGGTCTGGGGGCCCTGGGGGTCCAGCTGCCCGCCTTTGTCCCGGAACCCTTGCCCCATGGGTGCAGAGAGAGCCCAGACTTGGCCAAGGCAGGGCCCTTTCCCGTCAGGTCCTTTGGGCCCTGACAGGAAATCCTCCCCCAGGCAGGGCAGGCGCCGTGGGCTCACCACAGAGGGCTGCCCTGGCGAGGGGGGGCGGGGGAAGGAGGAATCCTCTCCCCGCCGGGAGCTGCCGGGCCTGTGGCTCTCAGGGTCCACAGGACTGAGGGGCTCCCCTAGTTACCCCTAGGGTACTTGCGGGGAGGAAGCCCACCGTGTGCAGGGTCCTTGAGACCTGTGCCCGCCACCCTGGGGGGCAGGGGGCTCGAGGGAAGGAGGTGTGACCCCTCCCTGCCCTCAGGATGCTGTCTGCGGTGCGGGGGG